GGTATCGGGTTTACCCATAATCCCCCTCCCTCTCTCCTCCGCTTGAACGGCCTCTCTGCTGTCCTCTTCCCCCATTCTCTCTGTCTCTAGCAGAGGAGAGCCATCGATCAGTGCCAATTAACCACGGCTCTCTGAGGACACCGAGACAGGCCCCTCGCGCACACACACACATACACACACACAGCCACTGACCAGATACTGGCCTCTGATAACCTCTCCCTATTACGGATGTCACTTTGCAGCCGTCTGGTGGTGATCGGTTATGTGCTCTGCATGCTAACTGCTCACTGCTTTAGCTTTATCCTTCGGTCTCCATTCAGACACTATTCTACGATACAGCAGAGAGACCGGATGTGGGGTAGCTGGGTGGGCTGCAGGATTCCCAGATTTCAGGATTGTTGCAACAGCTATTGCTAAAAATAAAACAAAATAATTATGATTCAAATAATAGTTTGAGCACAGTAAAGATATATTTGTTCTTTTTTGGGTGGTATTTGTGTTTTTATTGCATGTTTTACAAACACAAATATGTTCTCATTACGGAGAGCTGAATAGATGTAGTCAATCAGCCCTGGGTAAAATGGAAGGTGCAGATACATGTTTTTAGCCATGTTCTCATATTCTCAGCACCATCATCTGTCAGTGTTGTTGCTATTTCTCGAGATTAACCCTATTTCTCTACCGTAACAGTAACTTTTTCCATCCTATGTTTTTTTGATCACCAAGTTGTGTGCGTAAGTCACAGAATTCACACCTACATTATTTTAATCACCCTCTTGGAGCCTGTGATGTAGCACCATTTTAAAGCATGTAAATAACTCACAGTGAAAGCTAGTGAGGCTAAAGTACAGCCTCCACATGGCAGGGGTAGTTTGAACCATAGGCATGTCTAGCCCCTTTTTAGGGGTGCTTATTGGGTGCTCAGCACTCCTAAAGCTCTGATCCTAGAATCGGCCCCTGGTTTGAATGCAGTGTTATAAGTAAGATAATGAGAGATGTACATATTCTCCCACATTTAGAGGTTTTTATGCACAGATTCATCAAATACATTTTATAGATGTCATGTTAATAAAATATATTTAAATTTTATCTGACATTGTGGTCAAAAATAAGCCACATTTCACACAGGCTCTTTTCATATTTATTTTGATGCATACATTTTTATGCATTTATATTGGAAAGCTCATCATTTTACTAACCCCTCTACTTTATTAAGTACCTCGTTTCTACACTGTCAATTTTATCAGCTCCATTTACCAAATAGATGCACTCTGTAGTTCTACAATTACAGACTGTAGTTCATCTGTTTCTCTGCATACTTTGTTAGCCCCCTTTTACCCTGTTCTTCGATGGTTAGAACACCCACAGGACCACCACAGAGCAGGTACTATTTGGGTGGTGGATCATTCTCAGCACTGCAGTAACACTGACCTGGTGGCGGTGTGTTAGTGTGTGTGAGTTTGTGCTGGCCATCCTCTAGTCCTTCATCAGTGGTCACAGGAAGTTCACATATTTTTGGTTGGTGGACTATTCTCAGTCCAGCAGCAACACTGGGGTGTTTAAAAACTCCAGCAGCACTGCTGTGTCTGATCCACTCGTACCAGCACAACACACACTAACATACCGCCACCAGGTCAGTGTTACTGCAGTGCTGAGAATGATCCACCACCCAAATAGTACCTGCTCTGTGGTGGTCCTGTGGGTGTCCTAACCATCGAAGAACAGGGTAAAAGGGGGCCAACAAAGTATGCAGAGAAACAGATGAACTACAGTCTGTAATTGTAGATCTACAAAGTGAGCATATATATAGTAAGTGAAGCTGATAAAATAGACAAAGAGTGTAGATACAAGGTGGTGACTTTAATGAATGTCTGTTTGGAGTATACCTAGTGTAACAATCTTTATAAATACATTATAAAGTTGCAACTTTGTTACAGGAGTCCAATTAATTGTTATAAATGTTTTAAGTATATATTTTAAGTATACTAAACACTTAAAAATCATTAACTAAGCATTAAGGAAAAGTTTATGTATCGAAAACTATCAGAAGAGTAAATCAATATGTAATAATTTAGTGTAGTCATAGACACTTCATTCAAAATGATTATGAATTGTTTTTATGCAACTAAGTATATGTTTAGTATTTCTGGTTATATATGAGTTCTAAATATTAACTAATTTTTGTTATGTCAATAAGTAAATGGTCCATAATATAAATGGCACCCTTTGTTAATGCGTATGTAACTAGTACATAAATATGAAACATCATAAACCAATTTTTAGACGATGATTAAGTTGCTGTTTATTAAGACGTATTAATTACTTTAAAATGTTCCGAAATGAAACACTGATAATTGTGAATATAAAACGAAAAAACACATTGTCTCATACAAATAAATACACAATAAATAGACAATAGTATACAGCAACAGCGAGCAGTACGTTTGAAGCAGTAGGTCAACTGCTAATTTAAAACAGTCATTTGTGTTGCATCCAGCCCTGGAATCTGTATAATGCAATATCCAGTTGAAAACAGACTGTCTTAAATAGATTGGACACAGAGGCCCGTCCAGTCAGTAAACATGAATGGTTGAACGTAGCTAATAAATGACCATCTTTAAAACCAAGCAGATGAGTGGGCTTCACAAAATCTCGCAATATAAGACACTGTGTACGCTGTGCAAGTAGAAGTACTAGATGGTAGGCTGGCATACCTGATGCAGCTTTGTCGTCCTTCTACTGCATAAACAGAAACCTCTTTTCATTCATCCACTGGTCCCACTTTCTCTTTCTCTCACCCACCATTATACCCTCTGCATTAGACACAATGCTGACTGTTGTCAGTGTTGTTGCAGGAACAGTTCAGTGAAAAATCATATTTCCACTTCACAATTCCTTCTTACCCAAAATGCAGCCAATTATCCAAGAGGCGTTTGAAATTGTATGAAGTTTGCTTCTTTAGTTTTGCACTGGAATGGTGAGGCTAATGCAGCTAACAAGAAATGAAAGCTTATACCCAACAAATTAGCATTGTGCAAACTACCTAAGTGATTATATACTTACCTCAAAACATGTCAAGTACTTTTGAATAGACTATAATAAATACAAACGAAAGACACAGACAAAATTCAGGCTTTAATATGGCTGCACATATTGAATAATACTGCATGCCATGAAGAAGTGAACCTGGCCTGCAGTGTTGTTTGGGTAGGTGGCACATGTCAAATTGACATACATATGCATGCCTAGAACCAGGGTTTCCCAGCAGAACGTCACTGAGAGCAGCACACTCCCTCCGAGACTTGTGTTCTTCCCACAGTGCATCCCAGTGCCATCACTTCTCCAGGTAAACAGTGCACACGTACCCTGGCTGTCCACGTGATGAAGAAAACGGGACTCATCAGACTAGGCGACCTCTTTGCTAAAAGGTGCAGTTCCGACGCGCCCAACGCGCATTGCTGGTTTGTGGTTTGTCTCTCCTCAGACAAACTGTAGGTAGGTACTCACTGACCCAACAAGTTGGAGATGCTTCGACCCAGTCGTCTGGTCATATTTGGTCCTTGTCAAAGTTGCTCAGGTGTTCACGGCTGCCCATTTCTCCCACATTCAACAGGCCAACTATGAGAACTGACTTACTCACCATTTGGTGTATTAATATATCACAGACCTTGACATTCACAGTTGTTTCCAGATAATCATTTGTTTCTTCTGTAAGCAATCATGTATATATGTGTGTGTGAATATGGCAGCATATTCCAGACTTTATTCAAATTCAATATGTATATAAAATTGCATTTCCTATGCGAGAGTGCATTGTTAGAAACATAATTCAAATTCACATGCAAAATGAGTATATACATTTGCACTTCTGTGTATAATGGCTAGAAAAACTTAATAGGGAAAAGCAAAGTGCTTTTGTTCGTACATACACACACACATACACATACAGTCATATGTAAAGTTAGTACAATAGTAGATGCATGCACTTTGACATCCACAGTGGCTACTTGCAGATGCTGTGATGAAAGTTTGGGGTTCTGAAAGACTTCATTTAAAATCTTATGGCCTGCTCTTGGGTTAAATTTGCTGATCTTCTGGACAGTGGAAGGATTGATTTCTAATATTTTTGAAACACTTTTCAAACCCCGGACTCAGACATCCACAATATTCTTTCTGAAGGCCTCAGAAAGCATTTTTGCATTTTCTAGTCATGATGATATCCCAAACTGCAATAACAGAGCAAACCAGACCAGATATCTGAGGTTTAAATAGGTTAAAAAAAAAAAACTAGTTCCTTTAAGATATTATCTAAGTGTTCCAATCATTACCACCTGATCAGTGCACCAGATTTCAATAATTTTTAGAAGATATACACACACACACACACACACACACACATATATATATATAAGGGTGTACCACATAACGAAATTGCATCCGGGTTTATTTCAGTTATAGAAAGGATGATAAAAACGTTCATTTCACATATTATTTGTTCAATTATATCACTGTTATCTGTCAACATTGTTTAAATGAAGGCCATTCGATATCTGTATGTCCAAACATGTTGGAAAAAGTCTAAACTTTTCATGGGGTGTACTTACTTCTTCACATGACTGTATATATGTGTGTACTCATAAATATGTATATATTTTTCCTATGAACCACAGCACGGTTCTATACTGGAAACAACACCGGAATATGAAAGTCTTCTAACATTCATCTGTAGTCACTCCTCTAATCATATCATTTTTCATATTCAAGTGTTTTTTAACTTGTTCTACTTGAAAATACTTTTGATTATTAATGTGTATCCTAGAGGAATAGAGCTGAAATTCATACATTGAAAACACAGAGTAGGCATTCTCGTCCATATATCTTTTAATTAACATCTTAAAAGACATGGGAGTTTAGAGCCATATTTATACATATGTAATGCCAGTACATGTAGTCAGTTGCCCTCTGGTGGTCAAACACTGAAAATGCATTAAGAACAACCATGCAGAGGAGATGAGTACATTTATTGAGTGTTTCCATTAAAATACCAAGAGATAGATTATGACTCTGTGGACGTTGGTGGAAGGCCAAGCCCAGGTAACAACAGAAGCAGAAGCTAGCTTAAAGCAGCAGGTCCACAGTCCATATGAAGGACCTCATAAGCAGCAAACTCATTTCTCCTTTTTCTTACTCTCATTGAACTAAACGACTTTGGGGGATGGACGGATTGCATTGTGAGATGTGAAGCTAGTCGTCGAGGAAGAAGTAGTTGCCACCTCTCTTCTGCTCCACGTCCTGTAAATTAAAAAACAAACAAACAAACAAAGCAGACTGAGTGTAAAGGAGTGCAGTGAAAACACAAATACAAGCTTTAAAGAAATGTTGTACATCAACAAGCTGAAATCTAAAAATCTGTTTTGGTTTGGATTACATTCATATGCTGATTTATGATGTGTTCCTCACAGAAATGGCAAATACAGCAGACACTGATACAACCAAGCTAAAGAAAAGTCCATGTTATCATTATATATCCCAGTGCATGGACTGGAAGGGATAAGGAACCAAATAATAACTTTATACTGCAGCTTTTATCACCCAACACTAAATCTAAAATTATGTGTATCAAATAAAATGTCACATCCTTTTTAGACTTCAATCTGGACAGCTACAGTCTAAATGACATTTTATTGTTTCAGTAGGAAGGATGCTGTACAAGTTCAATGGTTGACTACACATGCTTCACCTGCTTCAACACAGCACCTTAGCTTAGTTAAGGGGTTTTTAATGAGCTGATTAGATGGTGTGTTGGAGCAGGAAAAACTCTAAAATGTGCACATAATGGAGCTCCCAGAATAAGGGCTGGGAAAACACTGGACTAGACAGTTGAAAATTAGCACTGTGCACCTTAATGGAATTGAGCTTGTTGATTCGTGGTCTGAAGTTGTTGGGGTCTCTCCTGAATGTAATCTCCAGGAGTGAAAGGAACTTGTTCATACCGGCAAGCAGCGTCTGTGGCCTGAGAGGCAGATTAAGAAATATTCAGGAGCATAAAAACACTCACTAAGGGTTATTCTAAGTGAAAGGAACATTCCCACAGAAGTTACGTTGCATAAAACAATTTCATCAAAAATTATTTTTGTTAATAATTTTGTCTTCAAATATCATCTCAAGCATACTTACGTGTTAGCAGTTGTCTTTTTCGATGGAACACCATCAAACACAATAACACGGTCAGCCAAGTATGTGGCCATGATGAAGTCATGCTCAACCACAAAGGCAGTTTTCTTCGCATGGAGGATGAAACCTGGGGAAATATGGCAACCACACATTTCACTAGACAAAACCAGACATTTATTACCATTCAATATACAGTACTGTTCAAAAGTATTAGGCAGCCATGAAAATTGTTTATAATTATCTTGGAAGCATGCTTTTTCCTGTAAATATTCCATATATCCCAGTAGTACTAACATTAGAATAAACACAAATAAACAAATACGGTACAATGTAACAATATTTCTCCTTCTTGGTGCACTCCAGACATCGCATAGATTTGTTAAATTCCATCAGGAGCACAACTGACTTAATTTCATGAAGGATTGTTTAGATAAACTAGAGCTTCTTCAAGGAAAGGTTTGGAAATGGTTAAGCTAACACACTAACACAAACAAAATAACAATGAACTGTTTATTCGTCCATTTGATTTATTATAACATTGGTATTTCTTACAAACCAATAAATGCTTACTGCCCAGATTAACAACCTTACATACATTTTTTCAGAAAAATTGACCGGTCAAATTACAGGTTTGTACAGGTTGACCTTTTGAAAATAAGTTAATGCATCCTCTACAGAGAACACACTTGTGCACATTTTAATGCACAATTACTGTTTGTGTGTTTACTGGCTGATTTGAATATATTGGAGAAAAAATAAAACATAAAATGTGGCCTATGCAACAGCTGAAGCACATTTTATGCTGCATGTCTTATTTTTTCCACAATGTGTTAACTCAGCAAGTGACTAGAAACTGTGCACTCAAATTAACACATATATCTCATATACACAGACACACCCTAATGAGCCAAAACATGACCACTCACAGATAAAGCAAATCATAATAACGGGGCACATCAAAGTACCAGATATATTAGACTAGTTAATCTAAACCTGAAGTTATAAATATTTCGCTACCCCCTTTGCCAGCGGGCGCTTCACCACAAACCACAAATCTTTAATCCAGCACAAAAAAATGCTTTAAGCTCAGTTCAAGGCTCTCTCTCAGTAACGGGCTTATCAAACAGAAATTCATAATCGACATTAGTCAGTCTTCCATGGCTTGTACGTGGAGCCATCCAGCAGAGCTTGCACGCACTCATTAAAATGATCATGTAGCACCACCCTCCCAACCCCCAGGTTAAGAACCCCTGTACTAGACAGTAAGCAATAGTTGATTCTCATAGCGGACGGTTTGGATGCATGAGGACTGGGCAGGCAACTTCGGTGAGGGCCTGATCGTTATGGTCCAAATATTGGGTCAGAGCATCTCCGAAACAGCAATTCTTGTGGGGTGCTCCCGGTCAGCAGCGGAGAGTACCTACCAACAGTGGTCTGAGTAGGGACAAACTACAACCTGCGACAGGGTGCTGGGTGTGCAAGATGCATAGATGCAGAAGGGGCAACAAAGAATATCACGTCTGCTCCAAACTGACAAAATAGCTACTGTTTTAATGGTGGTTACACGAAGAATGTGTCAACACACAGACCATCACACCCTGTTGCGTACGGGTCTGTGTAGCCACAGACTGTTCAGAGTGCCTATGCTAAGCCCTTTTCATTGTCGAAAGAGCCAATAATAGGCATGTGAGGATTGAAACTGGACTTTGGAGTAATGAAAGAAGGTTGCATGGGCAGATGTATCCCGTTTTCTTTAACATCATATGGATAGCAAGGTACGTGTGCAGTGTTTACCTGGGGAACTCATGGCACCAGGGCGCACTGTGGAAAGAATACAAACTGGTGGAGGGAGTTGATGCTCTAGGCAACGTTATACTGGGACACCATGGGTCCGGGATGTGGATGTCATTTTGAAACATGCCATCTACCTAAACAACATTGCAGACCACGTTTACCCTTTCATGGCAAAGTTATTCTCCAATGACAGTGGCCTCTTTCAGCTGGATCATGTGCCCTGCCACACTGCACATGTTGTTCAAGAATGGCTTGACGAACATGATTAAGAGTTCAAGGTGTTGCCCTGGCCTCCAAATTCCCCAAGTATCAATCTGATTGAGCATCTGAGGGATGTACTGAAACAACTTCAATCTGCGACGGCTACAAGTCCCAACTCATAGGACTTAAAAGATCTGCTACTAATGTTTTGATGCCAGATACCACAGGGTACCACCAGAGGTCTTTTAGAGTGCATGCCTCGGCGGGTCGGAGCTGTTTCAGTGGCGTGGGGAGGACCAAAAGCATATTAGGCTCATTTGGTTCATCAGTTTATATACTTTAACTTTATGATTTTGACTGCAGAAACAGAGATCAGGGTGAATATTGTAGCAGAGACCTGTAATTAAAGAAGTTACCGTTTGATAACTCTGGCAGCCATCAGACGCTGCTCTGAGTCCAGGTAGGCCGAGGGCTCGTCTATCAGGTAGACGTCCGCTGGTTTACCCAAACACAGGGCCAGCGCCACCCTCTGAAGCTCTCCTCCTGACAAGTTCTGAACCTGTGAACCAGCACACAAATTTTAGGCTTAAAACACAGCAAGACTCTTTCACCTTCTAAATCCTCCTAAACCTTAATGATTATTGAGAGTTCAGGGAGAATTTCACAAAGAAAACAAAGCCTTAAGCTAGGATCAGACACCTGGATTTTTTTCTGTTTCAGGTGATTATGGTCATACAAACCACAGACCAGAGCTCAAAACTATAAAATTCTTCATACAATGCTCCTCTTTTGAAAGGTCCATCAATGCCTTTTGTACTTATTGCTAATAAAGGTCAGAATACATAATGGCAAACACTCACATCCTGATCTATGATGCTATCAATCTGCATAGGCTTCATGACGTCCGTGACGAACTGCGGGTGTGTGTACGCATCTCTGATCTTCTCGTGGAGCAGGGCACGCACACTACCCTGCAGACACACACACAGACCACACACAGCAAGCATTAGGGGTTAGTAGGGGTGCTAACCAGTACCCATGATACACAAGGTGTAGAACAGCACATCATCGTACTTTGAATTTGGGGCTGATCTTTTGAGGTTTGTAGCTGACGTTGAGAATCGGAACCTCTCCTGGAACGGAAGAGATAGAATTTAGACTGTTACATATACAGGGAGCAGCGAAAAACAGTAATACTCACAGAATAAAGTCACTCACCCCCATCATCTGGTTTTAGTCGGCCAGCAAGCATCCTGATAAATGTGGTTTTGCCCGTGCCTGAAAGAATTGATTTGATATTAATACTATTTCACATGGAGAAATAGTAAACAATGAGGGTTCTTACACTCTCCACAACCACATGTACTGCTGTGACTGCCAAGTATCCCACTTTTGTGTCTACTTTTGTGCCTACTTTTGTTTTTTCATCCTTCAGCCATTCTCTCCTATCTACACCCATTAGCAATAAGAATAGTATTATTGATATTATGATTATTAAACTGAAGCTAATGATCACTATTAAGTTGAATCAAGAGCAGCAGGGAAATCACTAAAATGTGAATGTGTTTAGGATTTGGATCAGAGTTACGAACCAATTTCCCAGACGAGAATTAAGCCTAGACCTGCGGGGTATTTCACAAAGCAGGATTTTTAAGTTTAGCCAGCTAACTTAAGCTCAAAGTCATGCCTGTCCAATAGAAAAAAGCTGAGGGAGGTTTATATTGGACAATTCCTCAGCTTTGGGCTCAAGTCGTCTGGTCAACTGAGAAATCCTATTTTGTAAAATACTATCATGAAGCAGGATTTCTAGCTTAGCCAACTAACTTTAAGCTTAGTTCGATCTAACCATGGAACCTTGTCATGATGATGGATGAACTTTAACAGGGTACTTCACCATGGTAACTTATTCTGCATGCCTAACATGCACAATCAGGAAATGACGAAGGTGGACCCCTCTGGCCATTATTTTTTTCCTTCGTGACGTTTGTGGCATCCATTATGCAAAGAACACCGATTTTCATACTACTAGATGTAAAGAATATAAAGCGATTATTACTCCAATAAGCACTAATGTAGTGAAAGCACTACATTACTACTACTTTTTGGTTATTAATGTTTACTTATTACATATTTACATTGAAAAAACAAACAAACAAACAAACAAAAAAAAAACAACCCATGACTCAACCTCATGTTTCACATGACTGGCTGATTGTCACAGGTGTCACACTTTTGTGTGCACACACATAAGGACTAAATATAGCTTGAGTATCTAAACCTGGCTTAACAGACAAAGCTGGAAATCATCTTTGTGAAATGAGTTAACCGCCGTTCTGTTTGTTAGATTGTGTGAAGCTGAAACTTAGAAATTCCGTCTGTGCTAAACTTTTTTTTGGGAGACAGGCCCCTGGACTACACAGCATTCTCAATGGAGATTCTTTATTGAAAAGAAAATGCAGTCCAAGGCTCGGTTTAATCCCTGTATGGAAATGGACTCTATATGTATTTGCAAATTTAATATTTATTTTATTCATTTGTATGCACATTAATAAACCTAAAAGTACAACTGTTAACCAACTAGCTAATTTTCAACTCTAATACCTAAGGTCTAATGTTATACATCAGAAACAATTCAAAATAAACAAAACAAACGATAAAACTAAGACTATAACAAGCATAAAGCACATCAACAACGAAATAACAAAAACATCTACATAGTTTCTTCACTCTCAGCTGCGCCTCACCATTCTCTCCAAGCATGACCATGATCTCAGAGTCCGTGAACTCGCCCTCCACAATCTGCAGCTCAAAATCCCCCATGACCTTCTTCATGTTGGGGTACTGGTAACGGCACATCTTCTTCACCTCCTCCTCCGTGGCTGTTTCAGCCACCTTAAACACCAGGGAGGCCTCTCGGAACCGAAGGTTCTCCGTCGGCACATATCCATCCAGGAAGATGTTAATGCCTAGGATCAACATGAACATGCGGGGTTAGAGCTGTCCCTAGAGCTGTCTCTATACCCTGTCTTCTTAATTCTGGTGGCGTCAACTGAGAAACTGTTGTTCTGTACGTGCAGTAACTGTAGAATACCAAGACCATTTAAAGGGATCGGTCAAACATAATTTCTAATATGTCTAACAATGAATAAAAGATAGTGCTAGTTAGCATAAGCAGTGGCAAAGCATTTTACTGTTAGATTTCACAATATTTAGCACTCACTGCTTCCTTTCAATGGTTCACTGCTGCAACTCCTTTTTGGTAAACTATTCTTTACACGTCAGAAATGTACATGGACACATTCGGATATCTTTTCAGCAAGTGGAAGTGTTCAGTACCTTCTCGGACGCTGAAAGGCATAGTAACAACGCCGTATGCACTGGGTACTCCATACAGACAGCAGATGAAGTCAGACAGGTAGTCCAGAACACTGAGGTCATGCTCCACAACAATAATGTACCTACAGAAATTCAGAGAGAAAGAGCAGAGGCCAGGGTTAATGTTATGTAGAATATTGATAACAGCAGAAGTGGGCAATATGATGATAGAGAGAGGACAGAGAATGATTTGCACTCTGAGCAATCTGAAAAGCCCTGTTTGGAAATACTTCAGAGCAGAACTTAAAGGTCTGCAGACGGCAAAATTGTAGAACTTCAAGATAAAGTTGTATGCAAGCTGTGTAAGCTATACTTAGCCTACCATTCCAGCACTAGCAGCCTGAGGGCACATCTTGAAAATATGCACCCAAACGCATCCAATTTAGTTCACCTCCAAAAATTCACCTTCCCCCGGATAAAGCATGGTCACAGGGGTGTGCTAACACAGCACTGAACCAATGGAAAACGAAATGGGTGAATAACATGGCATGCCTCAATTTAATAATCCAGTTCACAGCAAAGCGAAGATTTACACCTTTCTTAAAACTTTTTAGTAGTTGCAGTGTTGTTTAGAGCTGATTTCTTCTCCGTGAATATGTGCACACCCAATGATGTGATTCATGAAGGGAAACGTGAATTTGAGGGGCAATTGTATCTGATGCATGTATTGTACTGGTTTGCCCTCTTATGGATATGAAGCACGAAACCAGATATTTGAACAGTTCGAACCTGTGTGTTCATCATTTTTGGTCAATTCTGATAGCCCTAGTCATGAGACAAATCATTGAGGTATATGCCCCAATGAGTGTTGAAACTTGTAGCACTTTAAATTTCATTTTAAATGTTTGAATGGTGCTGACCAATCAAAAATGCTGTGAAACGCTGTGTGTGAAAAGCAGTAGTGCATAACTTAGTCATTTTGTGGTCTATGTATTTCTTCCTTTAGGGGAGTAGAATATTTGTTTCACCGTGGTATTGAGCCACACTTAGCCCTGTTCAACTGGATTTAGTGGGGTACAGTATGAGTTTTGATTTCAATTTTTAAATTAAGGTACTAGTGCATTGTGTCTGTGTGATAAAATATTGTGACATAAATCATGTATCGTGAAAATGTCTTTAAGTATTGTGATATGACATTTTTTCCATATTGCCCACCCCTAAATAACAGCAAATACAAAAAATATACTAGTGTTCTCAGTTGAAAACCCTTGGCTGTCAACTGCTTTGGCATAATGGATCCGAAACTTTGAGGCATTTGTCTTGGTTCCTGTTTCAGTTGTAAAGCACTCATGAAAGACACAAGTGAACAGTCATATGTGGAACTGCAGTGATATGTAGCTCTACTGGGAACCGCTCACCTGTCTGGTGTGATAAGGGAGCGAATAGTGATGGCAGCTTTCAACCTCTGCTTCACATCCAGGTAACTGGAGGGCTCGTCAAACATGAAACTGACACACGAAGGACAAAGAGAAGCGGCACAAGGACAAGTTCATTCATGAGCACGACAAAAGGTGGCACGTTACAAAGTAGCGGACAAATTCAGGTTTGTGAATAACAAATCATCTATCATAAAATACTGTAAGACTGTTTTACATTCACAGATTAATCCTAGTTAGGGCTAGACAGGGCTGCAACTATCATACTTTCATTTTTGAACATTCTGTCGATATTATCTAAAATAATCTATAAAAATAAGAAGCTCAACACATGATTCAAATTATTATTACTTTATTACTATTAACTATTGTTATTACAACTATTTGGACAAATCTTGTAATTGAATGTGTCATTTATGCAAATTGCTTTACCATTATCAAATATTTTAATTATGAAATTAAATGAAAATCATCAAATTTGTTGCAGTCCTAATCCTAGTCTTAGTCTTAAATGGTAATTCAGGAAGAAAATCCATGTTGACAGTCGACAGGCTGAAACTGTTAACACAGAAACCATGTGGGAAACCCAAATTGCTCCTTCACAGTATCTACACACTGCCACCAGTACAAGATGAAATTACATCCTTAAGGAAAGGAACCTAATTATGCTTGAATGTGCACCTCCACACACTGCCCTAAACACGTTTAACTTCATACCCTAGTGAAGTGTAAAAATAGTATTTTAGGACCTTACATGTCAGCCCTCTGGATGCACACCACAGCACAGGCAAAACGCTGCAACTCTCCTCCTGACAGATCCTCAACATTCCTGTCCCTGAGATGAGTCAGATCTGTGTCAACACAAAGATCAACAATGCAAAAAACTTGCTCTTTTCATTGAGATTAAAAGATCTGAGACTACAGTTACCACTATCACAATATATTCACCTACACTGTACCTACAGGTCATCCAAACCATAAAGGGTGCGTTTATACTTGTAATTCAGCTTCCTTGGTGTGGATCAAAGCAGACAATGACAAATTGCTGCATTTTAGTTGTGGTTTGCTTAGCGTTCACAAGAACCTGTTTAACATCGAACCAAAAGATGTAAACAAAAGTCACAAGAGTAAAAGGCCAGAACTGTTTAGGCAGATTTTATGATGTACAATAACTGCGATCATGTCCACTGAACTTTCTGAATTATGTTGTTCTCCGTTCTATGTGAGCTCGGTTTTATTTATGTCTTGTTTTATCTGTCATTTGATATTAGACCAATAAACCACGGTAAGTCTCTGCATTACTGTGTATTTGCATGACGCCAAACGGGGTGAAGTCCCTGTAACATCCTGAAGTGGCTTACTGCTTTTACAAAACAGAGAAACCTTGTTGCCTTATTACACTACAACTTATGTGTGCAGACAAATGTGCACATTGAGTATTTAATGATTTCAAACATGCCTCAGACTGATTTCAAAACCAAAACTATCCATTCTATTATTATCAGAGTTATGGAGAGACGATAAAACACATATACATGTCAAAACAGCATCAGAAACTGTTCTTTTCCACATATGAAATAAGTAATGCAAGAGGGGAGACAATGGCTCATTCTGTCTTTGGTCTATATGCGCTCATACTTTAAACGACCTGCACCAGAGATCGTTTTAAAGTTAACCGAGACCGACCAGGTTGCTAATTTGGTGCACACCAGAGTTGGGATGGCAGTGTTCTCTCTTGCTCTAATTTGCAACAGGGTTCGTTTTAATTGAGCCAAATTTTCCCAATCCTGAATGCACCCTAAAGCAATAGCTTGGCAAAAAAAAAAAGACAAACCCACACAATTTCCCCCCTTACCCAAAATGTAGTGGGTGTGTAAAGTTTGAAGCTTTAGTTTTACGCCTGAACTACAAGGCTAATGTAGCTAACACATAACGGAAGCTTAACCTCCACTAACTACACTTGGCATGTAGTTCAAATCAACACACTTATCACAAACAGTTAACAACTTACTTATATGGTTTATGACACTGTAATGGGCAAAAATAGGCATAAGTACATAGCATAGAAAAAAAAATGTAGTAGTAATCTTGAAGCCTGAACTTCGTCTGAATTTTTGCCACGATAACTGTATTTGGGGTAATGGACGAACTGTGCAAATTATTTGCAGAACTTTAAAACTCTTTGCATTATAAAAACTACTGCATTTATACCTACATACCTAATCTACTCGTTCCAACTCACTTTACAGTGTATGATCTTTTCTCTTGTGAGCATACCAAGTTGTTCGCAGACAACTCCCTCCGTCTTAGTGTCATCCTTCCTGCTCAGAATAGAGCCCACACTGCCCTACGAAACAAGTCACAAGATTTAGGATTAACTTTTATAACTAATCAACACCAACAAGCAAAACCACAAGCAAAAACCTGCACCTGGCCTACTGACCTTGACAGTCTTGGGGATCTGGTCCACGTACTGAGGCTTCACAATGGCCTTCAGGTCATCCTCCAGGATTTTGGTGAAGTAGTTCTGCAGCTCAGAACCTCGGAAGTAGGCCAGGATCTCCTGCCAGTCAGGGGGGGCCTGTCAAAAAGAAAAAGACATTAGTACATTGTTTATTACATCTTAACCAGAAAATGCCTGAATTAAACTATATTGTGGTAAACAGTTTTCTTAAAGTAAACATAGAAAGTCCTGTTCTTTCAAGTATTATATAAATTGCATTGGGCCATGTAACCTGGCAGATGATTACTGAGGCAGCGGGCTAATCCCATTTTTAACGCTGAAATATATATATTTTTTTAATTATCCTTCATTTGTAACAGGCAATTATTCATGTGTATAATTATTTTGATCTATTAAATGAAAGCATTGCTTTCTTCTCTGATAACTGCTGTACCATCTACTTTTCGTAATGAGAGGGAAATGAATTTGTAAAATTATTTAATAAATAATTTATTCATTCATTCACTGTGAATTACATTCTGCATGAATTCAGTCCTGGTACTTCAAGTATGAACGAACTAATGCCAGCTCTGCCTTCAATAATGCCTGAGAAATAACTCTAAAACAAAGGTCAAATTGGATTCTTCCTCATACATACATTCCTATCCTTGACTCACGTCATATTTCCCTAGGTTTGGCTTCTGTTTGCCTGCAAGGATCTTAAGCGCTGTAGACTTTCCAATACCATTTGTGCCGACCAGTCCTAAAACCTCTCCTGGTCTGGGGATAGGTAACCTGTATAGATGAAAACAAGACAGTTTTAGCTTATGCATTTCCATCAAACATTATCCAGCAGATCAATCTGACCCTCTTACCTGTGCAATTTGAAAGAGTTGGCACAGTATCTGTGAGTAGTCTCTTTCTCCAGGTTGCTTGGCAGATTGACAATGGCCAAGGCCCCAAACGGACATTTCTACAGAAAGAATTCAAATAAAATAAAACTCATATATACAATAATTCAGCATGACTTGTCTATTTTATACTTGCTTCTGGGCGATGGCCTTGCAGCCAAAATATGAAAGCCAATAAAATCTGACAGCACAGAGTGATGCTTGTTACCTATACTAAGTGTTTGCAAATTTTCCAAAAGTTTGAAAAAACGCTTCACATACCTTAATGCAGATACCACATCCTATACAGAGTGATTCAGATATCCAAACAATTTTGCTCTGTGGAGTGACCTCTATACACAATTTGCCTGCAAGCATAATTTACAATTAGACAAAGTGGCTGGAACACAAAAAGCCATACAAATTTAGTTATTAATTCTAAAATGAATCAAAGTAAAAAAGAAAAGATTATTACTCCTGGAACACAACTACCTCTTTTATAACTACTGTTTTGCTAACCACTATTTTGTTCCACTGAATATATGATTCAGATGAGAATTGATTTGAATATATGGATAGTTAACAACAGTCTACGTGTGTATAAATGATATGTTAACAGCAGCAGAAGCCTCCTCTGTTCTTACCCATTCGAACCACTGGGCAGCTCTTCTTGCATTCTTGCCTGCATTTCTTTGGCTTGCACTTGTCATGGTTGACTATGGCAATTCGGGTTGGTTTTTCAGACATCCTGCCTGACTCTCATCAGAATGGGCTGCGGAGAGCCCCTTTCTGGACCTTAAACACTGCAGAAACAGGGTTAGAACATTTCATGACCTCATCAACACATGACAACAGCAGCCCCTTTAAACTCTCCAGACTTATATCAATGAACCGTCTCAGATGTCTAAGCAATAACAGAGCAGCAGCAATTCACATTCAGACACATGCAAAATGATTGCTGGGTACTGCAGTTTAGTGCTTTCCATAAATAATGCTATACAAGGCTCCTTCACTTTCTATGTGACTCTTTCCCTCAAGACTATTTTACTTTCTAGACCTCCTATGTTAAGTTTTCTTTCTTTCTCTGTGTCATTAACCATTTGATAGCAAAGGATTGCATTAAATGTAGTAGGTATTAGAGAGACTAAGTACAGAATAATATTTATGGATTGTGTTTTTTCCTCACCCTATATTACTTTGATACACGTTTTCCAAAACACATACTGAATGCAAGTGAGTACTGAGTGTTCATGATTATATATACACAACCACTGTCTTTACTCCAGAACTCTTGATGAACCATCGTTTTTAAGAGTGTCTGGATAAAAAAACTAAACGTACAGTCCAGAGCTGCTGCTGCTGCTACTCCAGGACCAAAAGTGGAAACACTGCCCTGAGTGTGCGCTCATCAGCAGTTTGGAGGTTTCTCACTGGAGCCATCACCAAGCAGAGCAACTAACTCACAGGCCAGAGCCTCTCTAAACGGCCCAAAACAAGGCAGACAGCGAGGAGCGATTTCAACTCGCCTCACAAGCCTCATCGTCTTACTCGAGAGTCCCCGTTGTATAAACTCCACTAATGCAGCCTGGCGTCTTGCAATCAGATGAACTCGTAACTTGCCACTATAAGCACCAACAGCTGGGAGTCTGAAGCGAAGCTAAGCTAAGCTAACTGGTAGCCACACGTCATTCCAGCCAACCGGCGAGGCAGAACACAGCACCGTAAAAGCTACACAGTGGCTAATATTCCTACAACAAACTTTTTCAACAACTTGTGTGAACTCACCTCGAAATATTCTGACCTCCTCAATGTGATTTTTATTTGTTTTACAGGTGCCGCACCGTTTTTCTCCCTGCAACGTGGAGCAGCTCAGACGGATAGGAATATGGCGGTATGGAAAGCTTTAAGGACCAAAACTAGTCAAAACAACTTCGCAATCTAACAAATGACATCACCGAAGGGGCGAATGGGAATGGCGTCATACCTGTCCCTGTGAGGTAATTACAATTTCTCACTGTTTCAAGTAAGTGCACGCAAATTAATATATTGAGGCCACCATTTACTATATTGAGTGCGCAATTTATTATATTGAGGCCAGAAAATAATATATGGAGGCCACCAGTTGAGAGAAACTTAACCTGTGGGCTCAGTGTATTAATTTGTGGCCTCAACACAGTACTTTGTGCTCTCAACATATTAATAGGTTGCCACGTCTTATTAAAAAATAATCACCACATCACCTTTGGGTCTCTAAATCTGCGCAGTAAATGGTACATCTGAAAATTTGTAAAAGGCAGTATTTGGTCAATTATTAGGCTAAATGAAAAAAAAAACACTCTGATGTGTCTGGTTAATATCCACAATACACAATGTTCTGTCTCATTATCCAATCAGAATGAGGTACAGTCTCGGCCTCAGATGCTCTGCCCATAATAATAAACTTCAAAAATTACAGGTGTGACCAATCACAGAGAAATCCAAGTGTTGTAACAAATAATAATAATAAAAACTATGAAAAAAAAATTAATGATTAAAATGTAACCAAGTAAAAAGTAATTACTTAGATACTTCATTACTCATACGAACACTATGAATGAGACGTGAGGAAATGCCACTAAACTCTCGGAAAGCTATTACATGAAATGGCTATAAATACTTTGCCTGAGACTTTTTTTCCCTTTGTGATTTACCACTATTTTACCATCATTACATATAAAACTCAGAAGACACATGTAGGTTCACTGATGATTTTGAATAGTAAATAAAACAGTTATGTCTGCGTTGCAGACATTATGGCCACTTGTTTGTTTCACCACCATTGATTCTACATTAACGTAGTATGGGTAGGAAATAATTAATTATGAAGTTCTACTCCTGAAAAAAAAAGTTGCAGAGTTAAAAGCGTATACTCCACCCATTAGCATCATACCACCTGCATGCGTTAAACATCACACACTGGCCTCTAACTCGGCCAAGTTATTTAAGCAATCTCAACTAGCTTATGTGGTTTCTGACACTGTATGGTATGCAGTTATCTATAAAAATAGACAAACAATAGACACTGATATGTCCTGAGCCTGTGCAACATCCTACATCCCTACAAGTGTTAATGCATAATTACTTTATATTTGATTAGCATCTCAGCCACTTTTAAACCACCACTGTCAGAACACAGTACTCAACCACTAGTTTAACCACTAGATTTAGTTACAAGTTAGTCACCACACCTGGCCCCCTCCTGGTCCTTCATTAATTCATTGTGATATGTGGGCCACAAGTAAATGTTGATGGATTGGGCCCTATCAGTGTTGAATTCAACATAACTGCTACTACTGTTTTAGCTACAGTGTACATTGTTCATTTATAGTCCATGATGATAAATAGTGGGGTAAAATTAATACAGCACCCTTGTAGCTCCAGTGCTTTCTTTAATTGCAACAATTTTAGGTTTACAAATGACCTTATCTAACACTTGCAGCTATATGGAGACTTGGAAGAATCCTCACTTAATCTGTCTTTAATACAAACTAAGGTGAGTTTAATTAGGTTATTTACCGGCATCTTTTGTTACAGACATCTGGTATATCGCAACCTTGTGAGGTGGTGCTGGGCGTATACACTGGGAGTGTAGTTATCTCCTCGGTCTTGGCCCCTATGCCTTCATATTAATGAGCGCAGCACGAGTAGGACGTCATCAGGGGGCGGTAATGTTGTTTGACTGATTTGCCTACTGTGACGACAACACGTCATCCGCGCCTATAGACCACTGTAGTCATGTCGCCATTTTGTAATTGCCGCAATATTCTTATGCCCATATTAGGAACTCCGGGTCTAAGCTTCATTTTTTTTTGGCCAGAATGAATAGGGTTTTTGAATAATCGCCTCAATCTCACCCTGTGTTAAATAAAAATGTTCAGAACCAGATACGTTTTGTCCTGTGAACATTTTTCCCCGAATACCACTGGATCCTCCGAATTACCAGGTCGTTAAGAGTTGAAATATGAATATTGCTACATGTAAGTTAAAGCTACTGCGCACTGAATTCACGTCATTAGACTGGCAGCCTCCTTAAGTGGGTTTTGGCAGTAAACATTTCCATGTTCAGACTGAGGGCAGATGAAAAGAAGTCAGAACAAAATCACCAGGTTTCCCTGCAGTTCTCTGTTCTTCGTTTGATGCTCACTGAAACACGATAGATCTTTCCTTTTAGCTTGATTTGAAAAGATCTACAAACGTACCTACACTCAGGCTAATCCAGTACAGACTCATCTTAATATCACTGCTCACCCCCTGATAAACTGCTTTAATGCTGGTAACATTTTTCTAAGGACATTCACCAGCTTTTTGTTCGAATTTTCCCATTCCAACTTAAATGGTGCAGCAGTCACGTTCTGAACTGCTGCACCATTTAAGGTGGAACAGGAAAATTCGAACAAGCAGCCGGCGAAAAAGAAGCTGACTTTAGCTTAACTTATTTTTGCTGTTTCACCGAACTAACAGGTCAGTATTTTGTCTCGTTTGCTAATGTTTGTAATAGACAGTCACAGCTGCTGCACCATTTAAGATAGAACGGTAACATTCAAACAACAAGCTGTGAAAAAAGAAGCTAAATTCAGCCTCATAGTTTAATGATAAGGAGTTTTAGCCTATCACAATATCCTACCCAGAGGTATTATTTATGGGCATACCTGTAATTACGCGCTATGGTAGAAGATTTTGATATTGCACAGAGGGATCATCAGATCACCGCCCCAGCCCGCCTTAGTTTCGTGTAGCTTAGTGACATCAAATTGATGCGTAGTAGCTTTAGCTCGCATGTAGCAATAGTATTATAGCTCTTTACGACCTTGTAATTCGGAGGATCCAGTGGTATTCGGGAGAAAAATGTTAACAGGACAAAACGTATCGGGTTCTGAACAATTTTACTTAACACAAGGGGCGATGGAGGCCATTTCTCGAAAACCCTTTTTAAATGGAGAAATGGAGCTTAGACCCGGAGTTCCTAATATGAGCATAACGAGGATTACAGAATGACGCACGACTACAGTGGCCTATAGCAGAGTTGAACCAGAGGGGCGCTGCAGAGGCGGAACTGACCATGATAAAAATTATATTTTTACAGTTTGGAAAGATGTGTTCACATTTAAGCAAGGCTGGTATATTTTATTATTACATAGCAGTGCATTTCAACTGTTAATGAAAAAAGGTCATAGGGTGTAGTTACTCGTTAAAGAGTAAAGGGTGTATTTTGCGTTACTTCGGCAAAGTGAAGAGCAGAGGATTCTAATGAGATGGGTGATATTTTTCTGCAGTTAACTGTATCATAACGTGCTTATATCTGTATTTGTATGTGTGGATAGCCTGAATGTTAAATGTGTGGCTGATTAATAACTAAAATACATCAAGTTTATCGGCGGCTATCATTGTTTTTTTGTTGACGCCCCCAACTCGGGGCTCATTGAAAAATCAGAGCTTCCCACTAGTAAATACGACATAGTGGTGACGTTCATGTGCATTCACCTCATATTTCCGATATTTCCGACAGGACTTCAAGGCAGCAACCGCACACTCGATTTAGAGGTTTAACAAAGGATCAGGTAGACTGGAGCTTGTTTTGACAGAGCAACATATAACGTTAGCTCCTTATTAAACCCATGGATTTACAGCTTTATCCAAACCAGTGTTAAACTGAGACTAAACGGCTGCTAGGTTAATGACAAAGCAATAGCCCCTCTAATTCCAGTTCATTTCCCTACCTGCTAAAGAGAAAGCTCTAACCGTTTATAATAACCACGATTGACGACTGGTCTTTTTGGTCGTTTTATTTCACTCTAAAGCCTATAGTTTACCTTATTGGCTAATAAGAAGCGATACACTGCATTGTTCTGTGCTCTCACATAAACGTGTTCATTTACGTAAAATCCATCAAAGCTTTAACTTTTCTCTGTTGAGTGTGAAAATAAAGGCAAAAACACTCGTTCTGTGGCCGCTAGCATAAATGCTAATAGCGTTAGCTAACCTAGCTAATTTAAACACCGTCAGACCAAACGGCCTCAGAGAAAAGGTATCAGACCAAACGCAGGCCTGGTCGAGCACATACTGGTTCGTATAACTTAGAAAACTATTATGTATCTCTATATAAATGCCAGTATATCATTTCCAGTTTTTTCTGACAGTGTTTGTTCTGACGTTCAGTTTCACCAGATCTGAGTCATGACGATGGTTTTTCTCGAGACTCGAAGTTGTTAAGCTTGAGGAATGAAGCCGTTCTGACTCGGAGGTCTGAGGATGTCCCAAAATGTACCCCGTAGCCCCGCCTAGTGCCAATTAACATATATTTGCATGTTGGTCAGTTTGAAAACGAAAACGCAAAGTCGGAAATGTAAAGTAAATCTCCAGCAGGTGGCGCTGATGTTCGTCTGCATTTGCCTTTTCATTCTGACACTTAAAGCGCGTCCGCGCCGAAAACTGAATCACAAACTGTCACTTTGCTGTTAATTTATCCATTTTGCATTTTCATTTTCATTTTGTCAGATATGCAGCCGATTGCTGTGAAAAAGAAATAAGAACGTAAACTGTGCATTTTGGTTTTAGTTTTGACACGTATTCTGCATTTCATGGAGAAAAGCCAAAGCCAAAGTGAAGCTTGGATTTTCTTTTCTCTATTAGCTTTTTCATTTTAGATTTGGCCATGAAAAACCAGAATAACGACTAAAATGAAATGACAAATAGCTGTTTTACATTTATTTTTATTTTTGTCACAAATGGCCCGTGCCCGTGTGAAAAATGAAATTGCAAATGTAGGTATTTCATTTCATTTTCAATTTTGGCAGGATATTTGCGCAGATGTTTGGAAAAAGAAATGGCAAAAAGAGGTTTGCATTTACATTTTATTGTTTTAATTTTAATTTCTTTTTT